CCAGCGGCCGCGCGCGCGCCGCCCGGCCCTGCTCAAGGTCGCGTCGCTGCAGCCCTCGTGCCACGCGCCGCCGCACGCGCTGGAGCAGGAGGAGACGCCTCTGTGACTCGCCCGCGGGAAGGCCGTCCGAGGGTCCGGGCCGAGCCCGCCGGGGCCTTGGGCCCGCCCGGGGGTCTTTCTCCTCGTATTGGGGGTCTTCTCATGAGGGCCCGCCTGGGGACTTCCTAAGCTGACTCCAGCCCAGGGATCTTTTCTGCCGCCCTGGGGGCTTCCCAAAATGACTCCAGCCCGGGGGTCTTTTCTCCCCGCCCCGCCCCTGGGGGGCTTCCTAAGATGACTCCGGGGGGGTTCTGTCCTCCCCGCCTTAGGGGTCTTCCTAAGATGACTCCAGCCCAGGGGTCTTCCAATAAGCACCCCCCCCCCGGGTGGGGCAGGCAGGTGCTCCATCAGGGTCCTCGTGTCTGGCCCTGGTGCGAACTGAGCCCGCACTTTCTTGTTACAACCCTCTCAGGGACTGGAAGGCCCCAGGTGGGCTCTGTGCTTCTATTGTTCTCTCACCACTGCCAGGGAAACTGAGGCCCACACAAAATGAGATTTGCCCAACAGGATACCAACCCAAGAGTCTGGGCCTGGGCTGGTCTCTCCAGAGTCTCTGTGCCTCTCACCCTGGGAAGTCAGGGCAAGCCTAGCTCTTGCCATCTTGAGCCACAGTGGCCGTGCCTGGACCCTCGGAGCCATGGGCAGGCCCAGCAATGGTGGAAGTTTCATGGCCACTTACCAGCTCTTTGCACTACCTGGCCACACTGCGCACAGTAGGTGGAGTTGCCGGATCATCTTGTTATTTGTGTTTGAACCTGGAGCCTGCACTTGTCCTGCTGTCTGCCAGTGGTGATCTCTGGGCACTGGGCACCGCCCATCCCCACAGACAAGGCCTCTGGCCTGAGCCCTCACCCCAGCCCTGGGGTTGCCAGCAATTGCCAGCACAGGTCGGGCGATTGGTGGCCTGGAGGCGGCTGCTCATTTAGAATCACAGCCTCCGTATGGGGATTGAGGACCAGATAGTGGCCCTGGCCCCTCAGCCAGAGCAGGGAGAGCCAAGGGGTTTGGGGGCTCAAGGCACACGTCAGGGCTCAGGCTCCCCAAGGAGGACTTGGCTAAGACCGCTGGGCCTGTCCTGGGCCTTAGACACCCCCCCTTACCCGGGGTCTCAGAGACATGCCTTGGACAGAGCCCCGTCTTTCGGAGTGAGACCAGCGCCCAGGCTGTTTTGGGAGGGGCAGTCCTGGGGGTGGGGTGAGGCAGCCCTAAGCCAGGGAGGGATGCTTGGGTCTGTTCCTTTGCCACACCCATTCCCTGCCGAGTCCTGAGGGATGGGCCTTGGTTCCTAGGGCTTCATTCAGGACCAGGGACATTCCTAGAGGCTTTTCTGAACAAGCCAGACTCAGCTCCTTGCTCAGGACAATGAAACCATTCGTATTTTCGAACCAAGTTTTGACAGTTTGCGTTCTTGCAGCAGTCACAGACGAGGAGTTTTATTAGCAGTGTGTGTTTTGATCTTGCACGTTGAGTCCCTGCTGGGAAGCGTCTCCATCACTTTGCTGTTGAGAAAGACAAGTGAGCATGAAAGAGCCGCCAACGGGAAAGCCTTCCCGGCCTCTGCTTCAGGAGAAGCTCCTGCCCCCACCGGAGGCATGGCTCGCGACCTGAATGCCAGCTCCATGACCTGGCAGTGCAGGGCCTTGGTTTTCAGGAGTTCACTCTGTAGCCACTTCAACCAACTCTGAGCATGGGATCCAGCCATTCTCATGCAGCCAAGCCTGTCCAGTTGGTGACCACTCACAACCTCGAGGCTAGCCCTCGAGGCTGCCCACAGCCACAATCCCTGGGGCCGAAAGAGCAGAGCCTGGTCTCCCTGGCACGAGTGGTGCTGAGAGCCCCAGCCAGTCTCACCTGCAGCATCGCAGGTCTCCCATGGCCAGGGGGCAAAGCTGCCTTCCAAGTGCCTGCCTGCCTGGGAGCAGCACAAAGCAGGACGCCGCCAGCCCACAGTGCGGCCATAATCTGGACAGCTCACCTGGACCGCTGGGCCGTAGTCAGATTCCTGACTACTGAGTCAGGAGCCGACTCCAGAAAACCGCTTGGGCAGCTTGGTTGCCCTGCACTGGATGCCCAGAGTCGCCCAAGTAAGCAGAGAAAAAAACAGTAACCGCCACGTGGTGAGCCAACATCTTGACCGGTGGGTTTTCTGCGCTGGTGGTCGGCAAGGAGACAGGCATAGACATGGAATAAAGTTCCAGATGAGGAAGCCTCACCCAGAAACCCCATCACTGCCCCAGACAGCCCAGCGCGTTGGCCTGTGGACAATGTTACAAGCCCATGTACGGAGCATACATTTCATAAATGGGAATTTGCATTGTCCTGGTCACTACTGTAAAACAGAATGTCAAGTCTCATGAATGTATTTCCTTAGGAAAACTGTTGTAGACATTTCTATGAGAAAAGAATATATTTATTTAACGCTGAACTTCAGCCTACTTTGTGGTAGACTATAAAGTACACAATTTAGGAAATCACTGTTTCTCACTTCCGTATTTCCTTGAAAATAATTTTGCTACCATGTTCAGCGTGCTGCGTTACTACTGATCTTCTACTGCGAAAGGAAACAAAGCAAGAATTTCATTAACACGAATTCAAATGTACTTTAAGTTATGAGTGTGAAATGGTGTCTGTTAACTTTGTGAATGTAACCTTAATCAAACTTGGTGTAATTCTAATCACAAAATGAAGTGCCTTCAGAGGTCCCTCCAGAGGTGCACTGGCGGTGTCTGGTCAGGGAGGGCCTGCCAACAAGCCCCTACAGTAACTGGTGGACCGATTCTATTAAAGACGTTCAAAGGCATTTGAGTGCAGACTGTTTATCGATGAGGAAGCACATCCGGAGAACTGGAGTGGTCTGCAGGCAGACGTTGAGCGCGTGTGCAGGTTACGGGTTGCCCTTCCTGGCTGGTGTGAGGAAGCTGCTGGACACCGGGCTGCAAAGTGACCCAGCTTCTTCCCTGCAGACAGTCAGGGCAGGGCAGGTGGGAGGGGTGGGCCGGCCAGGGCAGCAGGCTGGGGTTCGGGTCTGAGCAGGAGGATGAGGTGCCTAGACACCACAGCAGCCCAAAGTAGGCGGGCCCAGGGCTGGAGGGAGTGGGGTGGGGGCTCAGAGCCTGGGGAACCGGTCCTCTCCCCGGGGCTGGAGGGTGCAGTGGAAGCCCCATGTGGGTGGGGCAGTGCCCGCCAGCTTCCTCTGGGCAGAAATACCCATGCATTCATTCAGGCTCTGTGTTCTGGGGGTGTGCTGACAGCAGCTTGGGCATGCAGTGGGGCCTGTGGACAGCAAAACTTTGCAGAGGCCGCTGGTCTCCTTGTTCAACAAGCTGACTCAGGAGCCTCTTACCTTCTGGACTGCCCTAAAGCGGAGACTCGACCTTTCAGCTGAGTAAGAGTGTCTCTGGAGAACAAGCCAGCAGGGCGGGAGGGGTGCCTACTCCCTGCTCCATCTGTGGGTCCACCTCCCCAGCGGGCATTCTGCAGCCAGACTCCCAACGCCAGTGCCCCTGCTGGGATGTGGTCGCAGGCTTTGCACAGGCGCCCTCTACTGAGCGGCATGGAGACGGCCGCCCTTGATTCGAGACTGCCCATACCCAGACGCTGCCTTCGCTGGTGCCCCCCAGGCTGTCTCGCACATCCTGGCCAATGTCCCGTTTCCCCATCTTGCTTGTCCACTATTTCGGGAATGTGCCGAAGTCTGGCTTCAGCTTGGCCTCCAGAAGGCCAACAAGCCAAACGCTTAGCCCACTGTCACTGCAGGTGTCCCCGAAGTGGGGTGACCAGTGACTGTGGGGCCTGTGGTGTCCTTGACACACAGAACAGCAGTGGGGGGCAACCCCTTCGGGTCCCCTCCCCCTGTGGGAGCTTTTCTGTCCTCTCAATAAATCCTGCTTTCAAAAAAAAAAAAAAAAAAGAACAGCAGTGGGGACAGCACACCGCCATCACAACACTCCAGAAGTAGCCTAGAGGGAGAACTCTCTCTTGCAGGGAAAACAGAGGCATGTTTGTTATTATCAGGGGCAATAATTAGTGTTTACTGAGAAGTCACTACATGCTGGGCATATTCAAGGCATAATGCTAGGGTAGAAACCAGTGAACACGTGTGCTGTTCTCAAAAGAATTGTACTAATTTTTAGTTACTTAACTCTACTTAGGTTTCGATTCTTTCATGAAAGTCCCATTTGTGAACCTTTCGAATCTTGTGAGGATAAAGTAAGTGTAGAATACCGACTTAGGCATCTTGAAAGTGTCTTGAGAGAAAGCCAAGCTTGTTTGCTCAAGTGCCTGTGCTGCACCAGGCCACAGGCAAACCACACGAAGTCTTTGCCAGGGAAGGGGCCCCCCAATGAGCCCCCACTTCTCCCACCTGATCGAACCAAGTCCCGGGGCCTGAAACAGGACAGAGGGATCTCAGTCTAGGTACAGTGGTGAGTTGGAGGCCAAGGAACAAGGTAGACAATGTGAGTCAATGTTCCTCTGCAAACCAGGAGCAGGGATGGTGGTGGCATGAGCACCGGGACCGGCCAGGGCATGGGGCTCACTGCTCGTTCTGGGTGTAATTCTCCCAGCTAGCTTCAAGTAAAAGTAAAGATGATGTGCAAAAATGATGCTGGCATGGAAAGCAGATGCTGTAGAAGATGGTCAAGTCATGAACAGAGAATTTGGGGGCTCTGCATCAAGAACAAGCGTGACTTAGAGATCCTGTAGCGTATTCCAAATACACATTCATTTTCATGTATGCTTTTAACCAAGTTGACACTCACAACATCACTATCAGCAGGGTACAGCTGATCTGGCTGGCCCCGCACTCAGTCTGCTCACCTGGGTGGGACAGGGCTTGCTGGGTCCAGCAAGGGAGTTTCTCATCTGCCAGAAGGCCTGAGAAATGAGGCTGGAGACAGTCAGAAAGGATGGGGTGAGACCAGAGTAAGACCCACTCTGTACATGGGGGACAGGCCCCCGCCAGGCTGAGGGAAGATCTCTCGCTCCATGGATGACAACCTAAGCACTGTTTTTGGCACCGCTCGACGGCCAGTCTGAAAACTTTAGCTAGAAAAGAGAAGTCACCTCGATTTCATTCCTTGGGGGAAGCCGAGACTCTTTAATCAGGGAAGGGGGCATGGGACCCAGCTAAGCAACATGCCATGAGGAGGTGCAGAGTCCTGCTCACAGGGGCCTTTGCAACACAAGGAGAAGCCTCTGGACCTGTGGCCTGCAGGAAGCCCACCCTGCACACCTCCCCTGACCCGCCAGAAGAGATGCGCGTGTGGTCCTGGAGTGACTGTTCAGCGTTGCAGAGCAGCCATGGCAGGATGGGTGCGGCTACTTGAGCAGCTTGGCCACATTGAGGCTGGGCACCACAATGTCTTTGAAGATGGGCACGTAGCTCGGGTTGGCCTGCGTTGGGCCCTGCTCCAGGGTCTCGATGATGGTCTGCCTCATATCCCGGCTGGCATCCCCGCGCACGGCCAGCAGCGCACTGATGTGATCATCTCTGGGGACGGGGAGAGGTCAGCCCGTGTCTGCATACCACCCACCTCATGCCCATGCTGTTGGCACCCACAGCATCAGCCCTGGCCCACAGAGCACCTGGGTAAGGACACCTGGGGATGAAAGGCATGGCCATGGAGGGGGACAGCAGGAAGCTCCCCTACATCTCTCCACAGACCCTTGCTCGGAGGATGGCCAAAGGTGTGGCTGCCAGGGGGATGACGGGAAACTCCCACACTGCCCCACAGACCCCAGCTCGGAAGATGGCCTCAGGTGAGGGAGACCCTGGGGAGCCCAGGGCTTGCTCTTCTCACTCAACCAGAGCAACAGTGGCGAGATGATGGGACGGAGGACAGGTGTCGCTCTGCAGACTCGGCCACACATGGCCGTGTGGAGGCAGCGTGTGCCCTGGACGGGAGTCACAGAGGCTAGGGCCAAGGCTGGACTCAGCATGGGGGTGGGGACACATGGGTGGGGGGATGCAGGCGGGTCCCCTTCCCTGGACTGGGCTCTCGGGCCCCCATGATCTTGCACTCAGAGGCTGTCCTGGGGAGTAGACTTGGGCCCTTCTGAGGTGGCATAAGTCCTACAGTCACCCTGCTCAGGCCACTGCATGGCCCAAACCTTCCCGCCCAACACATCAGAGCTCTGACAGCTCAGCTCACCCAACCACTGTCCCAGCATCCTGCAGGGAGCCCAACCTCTGTCCACTCATAGCACAGTGCCAGCGGGGCACGAGGCACAGGGGGCTTTGCTTCCAGCTATGCCAGAGCCTGACTGGACCCCAGCCATGGGCACAGCCCATCTCGAGAGCCCGTGACTCCCCCCATCCCTGGCGGCATTAGGAAGGACGCTCACGGGAGCTGCACCTCATTACCTGATGTCGGGATATTTGCTGACCAGAGTGGAGACTTCCAGGTAGAGGAGAGAAGGGTCTGTCAGCTTGATCACTTCCGCAACGGCGATGATGGTGTCACAGTGTCCGTCCACGTCTTCCCCAAACCCCTGGAAAACAGCAGGGCCATGTGGCGTGGCCTTGGCCCATCCCCCAGCAACAGGAGGCGCAGTTGGATTCCAACACCTCGAAACCTCTCCTGGATGGGCACCTTCCTTTCCCCTAAGCACGTCCAGCGCCCAAAAGGAGGCTAACCTTGTGTGAGCTCTCAGCCTCTGAGCTGGAAGGGGCCCAGATGTGAGGGAGCCTCTGCCTCTGTGGTCCTTGGCTTCCCAACCACAAGGTCAGGTAGGCCCTGGATCTAAGCCCGGCCCAACAAAGGCTTGACCATTGCTGACCAAGTGGTCTGAGTCCTGGGGACAAATGCCATGTCCTGTGACCTGGCACCTGGTGACTGAGCATTTTGGGGTCGAGACACTCACGGATGCCAGCTTCCGGAACAGGAAGCGGAGCTGCTCTGCCTCCCTGACCATCTTCTCGGCACCCTCCTTGCGCTCCTCGGGGTTCCGGAAGGAGATGCGCTTCTGCAGGACGGCCCGCAGGTACTCTACCACCACACGCCGGTGCGCCTCAGCTGTCATCCTCTGGGAACACACACACACACACACACACACACACGGCAGGCTCCCACTGGTCCCTCTGGACGGTCCGAATCTACTGCTTCTTGCTCAGCCCCTCTCTGGGCACCTAACGGAAGGACACAGCAGGGCTCGATGGGGGACCACAGCCACGACCTGGTCTCTTGTGTGGGATGGGCACCGCAGAATGGATGTGTGTGAGGTTCATGCGTCAGCAATCATCCACAGGCAGCATCAGGGCCAGTGGTCACTGCTGTCCTCTGCTAACTACTAAAAACAGCAGCTGACACTTCAGAGGAAGGCCACCTCAAGCCCAAATATATGGGGACACTGCAGGAAGGACTTGAGCAGGAAAGGACACTCCTGGGCATTACAGGATCAGAAAGGCAGGAAGCCAGGCAGGGCAGGGCACACAGGCTTGCCAGAGACCATGGATTCTCTACCATGTGAGGGCACGATGAAGCCCCCTGCTGCTCACCCAGAGCTGCCACCCGAGGGAGCCGGGCATCCATCCGTCAGCCCCTGACTGATGACCAACAGGATGCAGCGGGGCCCTGGGTGCCAGGCCTACTCTGCTGTGGGTCCACCTGAGGTTCACCCCCCAGGGCGGAGGGTGAGCTATTCTGAGAGACCCACACACACCACGGGACCTGAGGGCATGGCTTTCGTGTCAAAGAAAGGAGGCCCACAGGGACCTCATACAAGACAAAGCTGACTGAGCTGTGGGCAGGGCCACTTGGCACAGCTGCGGTGGTGGGGGACCAGGTGGCTGAGACCAGGAGGCTAAGATGTCCAGGCGCCTGACTCAAAGGAGTAAATGCTCTCCCTAGATGAAGGCAACCCCACCTTAGGCTTCAAGAGTTCGAAAAATACCATTGCCCGAATATGAGCCCATAGTCAAAGGCCACAAAGGCACAAGGAAATGAGCCACCAGGATGGAGTTGGCAATGACGACAGGCCCAGCCCTGGGGCCGGCACAGCCCAGGCCTTCAGCCCTGGTCAGACACCAACTCATCAACCAACAGCACAGTGTCTGAAGAAATAAAACGTGCAAGAAAAAAGATTAAAAACTGACCAGGTACAAAAAATAACTATAATTTTAGAAATAAAAATGTGACTGTTGACATGCACATAGACATACATACACATTGCCTCCCTTTCCTCCTGGGTCTCTTGCCTGGATTCCTCCAGGCCACCACTGGTAGACAGGAGGGAGGATGGATGTGACTCTTTACTACTCTGTGACTGTAGCTGTCTCCTTCACTAAGGGGTCACTGTCATTGAGGGTACTCCATTATGACGGGAGTGAGGGGTGATGGCGGGAGACTGTGAGGCCCCACTCACACAATCTTGGTACAGCACCTGGTCCAAGGCCCCACTCTTGCCGAGTACCCATCTCTGAGCCCAAAAGAATATGCTAGATTCACCCCTGGCCTCATCAGAACATGCTGGCGTTGGTTTTAGTCTCTTAAGCCAGAGAGCAGGCCATCCCCAGAGGGCCAAGAACCAGTGAGCTTGTCTTTGTACCAGCTGTGAATGCATACTTATTGCTCTGGAAGATTGAATTTGAAGCCTTGCTTTCATTGACCCAAAAACTGGCAAGGGGGTGGCAGGGGTGAATGCAGAGCCCCACCAACCTTCAACAGAGGCCTCCTGGCAGCTGTGAATGGCCACCTTGGTTCAATCCGTTTAAAGCACCTGGGTCTCCCTGTTAAGTATCATGGCATCTTTTCATGGCAAAGCGTTAAAAGAATTTCCTTTAAAATCAGGAATGAGACAAGGACACCCAATGTGCTGGGTGTCTGAGCCAGTGTCAAGACAAGGAACAGACATGACAGGGATGAAGAGCAGGAGTGAAAACAACATGCGATGTCATTACACACAGATGAAGCAACTGTCTCTACAGAATTCTTGAAAGAATCTAAAGACAGATCACTGAAAATAACTAGAAGGTTTTGCAAAGGGCTGGATATAAGATCAGCATCTCAAAGCACTCATGTTTCTATCAACCAAGACAAGCAGTTGAAAATCCTCATCTTAAAAAGCAACACTTTCAACAGCAGCAACTGCAAGAAGGGCGTATGAGACCTTGACCTTGCTAAGGTAGTGCCACTGAAGACATGGCGGAGACTCTGAGAGCAACAGGAGGCCCAAGCTGGCCAGGACCCTGGCACCCTGAGAGTGGCACGTAGGAGGCCAGGCGGGCTCTGCACATAGCAGGCAGCAGGGATCCTGCACGCCGTCCCCGCATTCTCCCATGTGCAGCGGGCCCCTGGGTTCTCACCAGGGCCTGCTTCACCCAGCTAGGAGCCTCTCCAGCTCCACTTGGGGCTGGAAGGCTGGCCACCCTCCGTGTGCACCAGGCCAGGATCAGAGGTCACTGTGGTGCCTTACCCGCCGGACTCCCGGCTCCCCATCTTCCTCCTTATGCTCCCAGCACTGCTGAGGAGCCCCTGGCAGGACGGGTGGTGCTGATGATACCCCAACCCAGAGGTCTTGGGTATGCAGCCATGTCCACTCCCGCCCTGGTCAGTGAAGGTCCGTGGGGTTTTGGGAGGGAGTAAAGGTGGCCAATGTTCTCAATCCTCACGGAAGCCCCACCACTCCTCCCTCTTATCTTGAGGCCAGTGAAAACACAGTTGCCTCCTGCTTCTATTGGGCTAACAACACAGCTGGCAAACTTTCACTCACCTGACACAGAACTCTGAACAAGGGGGGGCGGCTGGCTCGAGCATGAGGGTGAACTACGTGGCTACATCTCGCACACTTACCTTTTTATATGGCTTCTTAATTTTGGCAAAGTCATTGAAGTAGTCTTCCACAGTGACACAGATGATGTCTACGGCATTTGATCCTAATAGCCACTTCTTTGTCATCAACTCATTTAGTTGTTGCTGGAAAGCACAAACAGATCACAGAAATCACCACCACAAACAATGCCCAACAAGAGTCGCATGCACTCGGGCGGAGGACTTCTGGTCTATCTCAGTAGCACTGTCCTGCTTTTCTGGTTATGACAGCAATACATATTCAGGTAAAAGTATGATACAAAATCTGCAGACATGTACATGAAGTATAGGAGATATATATTACATACAACCTCTGTGGTAAGCTCCACAAAATGACATGCTAGAGGTGTAAACATCTGTGCCTATGTGTATTTACATTTTACCTTTACTGGCTACATATATTATGTGGACATTCTGTAATTTATTTACACAATTCTCCACTGGTAGACATTTAAAATTTTTTCACATTTTGCAATTATAGATGATGCAACAGTGAATCTGTATATTTCTGCAGGTAAAATTCCTTAAAGTTGACATTTTCAGTCAAAAAGGATGCAAATTGAAACTGATAACTGTATTTCCAAACTGTCCTCCAGAAACTGTAATGACTCAGAAGACCTAAAGCACCTTTTTCTCATGCCCTCCACGACAGAGTAGTATCAGTGTCTTCAACCCTTGCCAAGCTGCTAAGCAACAAATCACACTCAGCCTTAATTTGCATTTCTTTGATGATCAGTAAGACTGCACATTTCGCTTCATGTTTAGGACACTGGTGTTTCTTTTTCATGTCCTCTGTCTGCTTTCGATTACACTGCCTTTTTTAAATTTTTGAAATAATTTCAAATGCAAACATTTCCTTCCTTTTTCTAAGTCATTTCTGTGACAGTTACCAGTGTCAGGCCTCTTGAGCCCAGACACCCTCACGTGCATTTCTTTTCTCTCACACAGCCACAGCACGGGTGGAAATTCCAACCCATCTCACCAGCCACCCCAGGAGCTCCCTTTCCAGAGGACCATGAGATGACCAAGGTTTTAATTTGATACACTCTGACTTCTGCCAATACATTCACACAATGCTAGCCGCCTTTGTATTTCTGAAACAAACTCTATTTGTTCACAGCATGTGCTGTCTTTAATACAATGCTAAATTCAAATCCACCATTGTGTCAATCATCTTTGCTTGTGCATAGGTTTGCTTTGCGTGCTTATTCAAAAGTGAAACTGGTCTACGTAATGTGATGTGTGTGTATGCACCCTCAGCTTGGTTTTTCGACAAGGGTCTCTTGCTTCTGTCTTGTAAGCCACAAAGTCTTATGGCTCTAATGCTTACTGGGAGTCTCTACTGAATTGTGCATACAAAGTGGGCCACATCTCAGAAAACAGAGGTCCTGTAACATGAGCAGAGGGTACTGTTCAGTCCAGGGTGTGGTGTCCCCCAGGCGCACAGTGTATGGCATGTTCCCCCAGGCGGCCTGGGAGCATTGTTGCAGCCCAGAAAGCAGCAGGAGAAAAGAACAAGGCCCACCTCCAGGTCCAGGAAGACCTCCTCCAGCAAACCACTGCATCCTTCCTTCGCGATGGCATCTAAAATCCCGTCCATGTTCGGCTGGCTCAGAGATGCACAGTCTTCCACTTCACTTTTGAAATACTTTCTTTTTAAACTGACGATGGACTCTCTGCGAGGGAACAGTTTGGGTTCAAAAGGCGGCTGAGTGTCCTCAGATTCCTTCTGTGTCTCAGCCCAACCCCACAGCGGTCACTCACTTGAAGGTCTGGCAGTTGTTGATGATGGCGACCATGTACTGCACGTAGCAGTGGGGGTGCTGGCGGTTCCGCAGGTGCTCCTCCTTGTACAGCTGGGCATCGTCTTTGTATCTACGAACACGCAGCCCATGTCAAAGCAGCACTACAGGGAGCACAGAGCTCCTTCCAATGCCACGTGGATGTCCCACACAGCCAGAAATGCCACGTCATTTGCACCTGACCAGGCGAGACTTTAAAAATAAAACGTACTTAAATATATATATACAGTTTATTTAAAAGGTAAATGAGAGAGACAGAGAGAGGAGATTCACCTCCCCCAGGTAGGGGAGGGGGCCAAAACTTAGAACACATGGCCTGGCCACAGATCAAAGAACACATGGCCATCTCAGAGCTTAGTAAGGCAATGGTCAGTAAAATACATGTTTAGATGACCCATACTAATGGAAAAATAGAGAAGTTGATCATTTAAAATGGATTATTAAAAAATAGTTTCATATGAGGCCTTAAAATACAGTTCAGTATTCTGAGTGTAAAAATATCCTGAAATAGATGACTGTAACTGGGAAAGCATTGTCTCCTTTTACCACATACACAATTCACCTAGGAACTCATTCAGCAGTGTTAGGAACATCATCAAATGTTAGGTAAAATACCCTTTTCTGAACCTTTCCCTGAATAAATTCAATTAAATATAGACACTTGAAATGTCAACACAACAACAACTAGGAGACTATATACTTTATTTTTAAGTTTACTATAAGGAATCTTAATATGGGAGTAGAATAATAGCACCAGGAATGCCCTGTATCTATTTTTCTTTTTTTTTGAGTTGGAGTCTCGCTCTGTCGCCCAGGCAGGAGTGCAGTGGAATGTTCACAGCCACTGCAGCCTTGACCTGCCGGGTTTAGGCAATCCTTCTGCCTCAGCCTTCCAAGTAGCTGAAACTACAGATGCACGCCACCATGCTTGGCTAATTTTTGTGATTTACTGTAGAGACGAGGTCATACCAAGTTGCCCAGGCTGTTCTTGAATCCCTGGGTCAGGCAATCCTTTCGCCTTGGCCTCCCAGTGCTGGGATTACAGGCTGAGCCCCTGCACCCAGCCCCCTGTATCTATTTTTAAGAGAAGCCAAGAAAGGAGCAAACTGAAAGTTGGCAATTAAAGGGAAAGATGAAGCATTTTTTGGCCTTTCTGTCCAATTCGTGGCTCTGATAATTAAACAGTTAAAGGTAATCAGGGACAGTTCCTCTTTATAGAAGAACACCAACTCATAAATGACACTGACCTTAACAAAGCAAATAACCCAAGCCAAGAATCCCCTGCACTGATGACCATCACAAATGAACTGCTTGCAGACTCGTAGCATAACCTTAACAGAGATGGGCAAGTGAGCTGATATATCTCAATGGCACAGCTGCATCTGGTGGCAGGCTTAAAGTCAGCAGCCAATCCTTATTTTAGTCCACACATGCTCTGCCTATTATTTTATTTACTACTTTTGCCCATGCCTTTTTTTATGAATTGCATAATTATTTAACTATATGTCACAATGTAATAATGATAGAAATAAAGTACACAATAAATGTGTGCTTGAATTATCCTGAAACCATCCTCCTCTCCCTTGTTCCGTGGAAAAACTGTCTTCTATGAAACCGTTCCCTGATGCCAATAACCTTGGAGATTGCTACCTTAAAGTATGTCAGCATAGAGAGAGAGAGGAGAGGAAGAGGGAGAAGGCAGGATGGGCAGAAGAGGAAAACAGATCAAGCAAGGACGGCTCTGGAAGGGACAACTTTTGGAACTGGACAATGTATGAGCACAGTTTTTTATGCCATTCTTTCTACTTCTACAGATTTGAAATCATCATAAATAATTCAGAGGAAGAGCAGCTTGCTGGGCCACAGCCCATCTTGAACCCCCTCTAAAGAGGGCCGGCTCTGCCAAGGGCTCCCTCCCCACAGAGATGTGACCACTGCACCTGAAGTACTGGTCTCCCACCCCCAGGAAGTGCAAGACTGTCTACAGGAGAAGCTCTGACTCCAACCAGGCTGGCATTCTTGATGGCATCACACAGCACATCAGATCTGGGATTGCAAGGAGATGCTGTGACTCATTCAAAATAAGATTATCAAGAAGCTCTATTCCATCTTTTAGCATTTCTAAACAGCAAAGGTGACGTACAGGGAAGCTCCAGGCTTAAATTCTTTTTAATATCAGGTATTAGGATCAACACATTTTTGCTTTACGTTTTCAAAAGCATATAATTTCTGAATTAGCACTGGTACAAATACATACCTACTCAGGAAAGAATTCATCTGCTGAAGACACAAGACTAGTACCTTGGTTTTCAAATCTTCACTTATCTGTGCAGCAACTTGAAGATTCTGTTCAAACATCTAAAAATAGAAGAACTTATAAATTCCAGTACAGTCTCACAAGAGCACACAACCTGTTATATAAAACCCCATCTGTTAGTTGGTAGAACAGTTCAAATCGAGAGAAAGAACAAAACTACTTGGAAGTTAGCAAAGTTAGTTAAAAAAACAAACAACTTTCTCACTGGGTAAAAAACCAAGCAGATCACTTCTTGATGACTTGAAAACTGGTTTCCACCAGGGGGCTGTATCGACCTTCACGATGCCTGACAAGGGCCAGGGGACAGGGCTGCACAGGTGTCCTAAGTGCCAGCCTGTTTCTGGATGTGGTTCACCTTCACTCACCTCTAAGTACTTGTGATGTGGATTCTTAAGAATCAAGAGGCGGGGAAGGGCCAGGCCCTGCATGAGCTAAATTTGGTCATAGGAAGGGTAGAGGGGGCAGAGCTCACCCAGGACACACAATCTGGCATGGCCTCCATCTCCAAAACAAAATTAGAGGTTTGAACTAACCTGTTGCTAAAATGGTGCCATTCAGAGAGAAAGATCACCCGCCAGCCCTCACTGCTGCCTTCCTAGAATCACATGTGAGTATTCTAATATTACCCAGCTCCTACCCTCAGCAATGTCACTCAAGGGGAGAAAACGTGATGATCAAAAGAAGAGGAAAGCAGGAAATGGGGGACACGGGCAGGTGGCCAAGCATTAGGACAGAAGCCAGTTGTAAGAATGCATGTGGGCCTAACACCTTGCACTATGACTAACGTACAAGAAAACAACTTTAAAATGCTATAGGACTCTCCCCAGAATCTACTAGAGTAGATTCCAAGGGACATTTTTTTAATGACGAATCTTGGCCATTTACAACAGTAAGAAACATAAAACAAGCAAACTCAAATTTGAAAGTCACAAATGAATAACATGTAACTAGGCTCTAGTTTAAATCTCCAAAGACTACGAAAACTAAAGTGACCTTGGACAAAACTACTTGAGAAGTACAATCCTAGGTCTCTTCTGTTCTAGGTGAGAGAGAGAGAAAGACACACACACACACACACACACACGGATTTAGATGCACCAGGCAGGGTTCTCAGTGTCTCTATTATGCTCTATCAGTCAAGGGTATTTAGTGTCTCTTCATCAAACTTACAGATGGGACCAACCGCCCAGGAAACAGAACTGTGGATGTTCACACAGGTGGTACCTGAAATACGATGGCAGGGAGTGTGGTCTGGTAGTACCCGTCTTGGTCAGCTTCAGGCTCGGTCTCTTTGACCCAGTCTTTCCTGTCTGTTTCCAGTGCTTTCCGCAGCCAGGCAATGATGTTTGACTGAACGAAGTTCAGCGTTGGGGAGAAAAGTGGAAAAGAGCAGGCACCCCTGAGTCACACCAGTCGTGCTCTGTTGTGGTACAAACTAGACCCGGTGCGCCATGGAGTCCCGCTCCCAATCGAAAGGACACCAGAGTGGGGACCTCGGCGTAAACCAGACCCGGTGCGCCACGGGGTCCCCGCTCCCAATCCAGAGGATGTCAGAGCGGGGAACTCATGAGCATCAGCCTCCGTGGACCTCACTCAAAACCCTGACTACGGATAAAGAGTGGGGTGGACTAGAAAACCTTTGGGATGTGCATTGTGCTGGAGGACAAGGCAATTAGTCAGAAGTACACTAAGAACAAGGTAAACAAGGTCTGGCCAAGTTCAGGTCACCCCAGACCAGATGCAGCTGCCCCATCAGCTCAGGTCCCAAGAGTAGACAGCGCTCCCTCCCCCATTCCCAGGGACACCTCTGCATTTGGGTCACAGTGCTGTCTTATGTGGGCAGATCCTTTTCTAGGACACAGACCCGATCTACTCTTCTCATTCAGAGACTGAGTGGTAGTCCTAGGCGGCAATCAGACTTGCCCTTCAGTTCCAAGTGCCCCCCGCCCCAGGAGTCGGAGCTGACAGCCTGGCAGGAACCATGCCACATGGCCCGGGTCCTGCCCCACCTGCCAATGACAGTCCAGGATCACTCCTCCAGCAGGAGGACAAGCTCCAGACGAGGGCCAGAGAAAAGACTAGTCCCTTCTGCTAGCTGGCAAGTGAACACTTCAGGACCCGATGACAGAGCCAGACAACTGAGCAATGCACCCCTGGGAGGTGAATGTCGAGACACTCTCACCCTGCCTATTACCTGCTGGTCAAGGCCCAGTTTACACAGATTATCAGCACTGTGGTTTCTGGGATGCAGGCCAGTTCTACTCACAGTAAGTGTAGACATGTATGTGTCGAGCAGCTCAGAGACCACGTTTGGAGAAAGCAAAGGTTCCAGGGCATTGACGTCCACTTCTGGGGCCAGCTCCACATTTCCCATCATCTCTGCGCTACAACAGAAGCAGGGGTGAAATTGACAAACCACAAGGGACACAGAAAGAACACCCTTAAGCAAGTCTGCGTGTAGCTATTTCTTTTGACACACAAATGCCCAACCTTCCTGGAGACCTCAATGCCACAGCCAGTCCACAGCTCAGGGAAAGGCAAAGGGGCCTCATGAAACGCACTGGGTGAAGGAAGAGTCAAGGGATTCAGGGATTGCGTGACATCACCTTGTTGGCTGTGCAGCCATGTGTGTCGCGTCAACCCAGGCTTCACTTCACTGTGCCAGTTTCACAGCGCACTGGGGACTCAAATGGAGGATGAGCCCCATGAGGAAGATGTGTCTGTGCTACTCACTGCAACTCCAAGGGCCAAGACCAGGGCCTGGCAAACGGGGTGCCCAATAAGTACATGTAATTAAGTAAGAAGATAACAAGACCAGCTGGCCCTCTGTATCTGGGGGTTTCGCACTTGCAGACTTATCAACCACAGATTGAAAATACTTGAAAGAAAAAACAGTAGCAATAAAACATAGTAATATGATAAAAAATAATATAAATTTCAAAAACAATACGGTATAAGAACAATTTACGTTGCATTACTTATTATAAGTACTTTAGAGGTAACTTAAAGGACACAGGAGGAGGTTACGTGCAAATACTATGCCATTTCATGATTAGGCACTTGAGCTTGAGAGTGTTTTGGTATCTGAGGGGGGTCCTGGATGGAACCCATCCCCTTCAAATACCAAGGGACGATTGTGCTGCAATTTGGAAATATATCAAGCCATTGCAGTCAACATCACTGCTCTGTGGAGGACGGTTGATGACTAGAATACAAACTACATGGCATAACTGATGAAAATCACATCAGCAGGAACAAGTGAAATATACCCAGTCTACTGTGCAGAAGGCAAGGAGACATGCATTAAGTTTCAGGAAAAGTTTTCACAAAAAATAGTTAATGTGTGTATGTGGCTGGGTTCTTAAAAGTCTAAAGTTTGGTCTTATGCTATATTTCCTAACTATGTGCTTAAAATAACACTGAATAATATTAATAGTCCACCATATCTATAAGAAATCTAAATGTACCTGAGTAAAAGAGTGCTTCATAAAATGCTGCAAGTATTAAAACTCTATTTAACCTAAGTTATTTTTGCCCTACGAACCTCAATTCAGTGTGTAAATGTCTTGAGTGACAGCATGTCAACCTCCCCTGAGAAAGTCCAGCACAACAGAACGTAAATGACTAACACGAATCTGCCAGGGAATTCCCAAGGGCAAAAAAATGCCACGACACAGGAGGACAAAATCAGACACAGACCATACGAGTTATAGACAGGTACAGCCAAGTCCAGTGGCCAGAGCCCAGGTGAGGGAGGGCCCGAGGTCTGAATGGGAATCCTGCTCCCCGTTTGCTGCCCGTGTGAAATCAGCCTCATTACCCATGGTCTCTGTGCCTCAGTGTGTTCACCCACCAAATGAAGATTACCCTACTGGCTCCTGCCTCCCAGGGCTGTCAACACACATGGGCCATGAAGTCGAGAACTGCACACAGCAGTAGCTACAGAACAGTCAACTGTGACAGTGCCCGCCCAGGGTTGTCGTGAAGATTAGAGGCAGCCCAGGGAGGTGTAAGTCCAGGGCTGCCAGGGCAAGGCTACAAAAGCATCAGCCACAACAACCATCATCTGTGGGTGATATTTTCTCTTTATGTTCTTCTATACTGACACACAAATTCTCTACTATAAGCAGTTTCTAGTAAACAAACAAACAAAACACACACACGCAGTTAATCCTCACTGCTAAAAAACTAGGTTTACTTAATTTCTCCACAGCAGTGACTAGACAGGCATCAAAAAAAAATCAATACACTAGTTAATATTGTTTTCTATCCATGAAGTCACACAAAATTACAATAAATAATCATTCAGTTACCTAACCTTAAAGAATTTCAGACCAGCCCCACTACTGCTTCATTTTTCCAACACTATCTCAAGCTAATCCATGCACAAAGTGGGTCATGTTCCCTTACACAAAGTGACAAAGTCTCATGCTAAGACTCTGAAAGGAGAACTGATTTTTCTAAAACTATCTACACTTGTAAATATTTATTTTCGAAAGAATGACTGCTACAGTGTACTGGTGAGAAGAAACCAAATCTGGTGTTGCTAGAAACGAGGAGGAGGATGTTGGCAGTCTCCTCCCAAGATGGGTGACTGTGCAGGTCCTGGTACCTCCTAGGACCACATGACTTCCTCTGTAAAAGGGGGTGACAACACACTGCCCCATAGTGTCACCATGAGGAGGTAGTGAGCATAGAAAGCAATCCCAGCACTGAGCTGCTCACCGAGTTGCTCGATGGACTAGACATCCCAGTCCTGACAGAAATCAAACCACCAGAGGCAGGGCTCGACCTCAAGGATGAGTCCCCAGCAGGTGGCCCAGAAAGCCCTTCTTAAGCCAGAAAGGGCACGGAGCACCTGCCCAGAGCAAAACACTTCCATTGACTACCTGGGAACTGTCTGCTGGCCTGTTTTACGTGCAGGTTTCTACATAAAAGAGAACATGAGGTTAGCTTTACCTCGTATAGGTGTTTAAGACCCACGTCAAGAGGCTCACAATCTCATTGGCCTCCAGGTCTTCTGACGCGAGCTCCTGCATCCGTGTGCTCAGTGCTTGGTGGTACATGTTTAGGAGGTTTTTAAAGATCTCATAATGGGGAGGAAAACACTGAACCATCAGGTTCTTGGCAACAATGAGGTCATCCAGGACGTACTTCCTTATAATCTCCAGGTGGCGGACAAGCCACATCTTGTCTGACTCCCTGGTGTCTGCCTGTGTACACTCGATTCTAGTGATCACAGTTTTCTCCAAGATGGCAAACATTTTCTCTTTCCACTTTTTGGGCCTCCCGGGAGGAACAAAGCCAGTTTGCTTTTTTCGGTCAAGTATACGCCTGTCAATTTTTTCTTCCCTTTCAATGATCCTGACAACTGACACCAGCAGGGTAGGGTCACGGCGGACAGTGACCAGTGACCTCTGCAGCACCATCCACAGCTGCTTGGCCAGCTCATCGGAGAGCCCCTGTGTGCTGCCGAAGTAGCCGTGGATGAGGGTCATGTCACGGGTGTTCCCACTGTCCATGCGGTACTGCTCGTACATCAGCCCGTCACGGGAGCACTCCAGGTCCATCAGCTTCCGGTGGGCTTGCAGGAGAGCCCCTTGCTCAATTAGGTCCTGAGTCTCCCTCACAATCTCAGGCACTAGGGAAAAGGCACAAGGTGGTACCATTAGAAGCAAAACAAAACAAGAACAAATGAAAATAAACATAAACGGCTATGTGCAGAATTCTGGGAAGATGGCAGAACAGGCCACACCAGGAATCCATCTCCCCAGACAGACAATCATTGCACAGGCAGAATCTGCCGTAGCTATTTTGGGACTCAGTCTGCTACAAGCATGAATGGCAAATTGGGGTCAATTCTGGTCATGTTCAGCCTTTGGCACAGTAAAGGTTACCCATCCCTCACCTCCAGGCCCCGCAGGTATTTCTGAAGCAGTCTGCACATAGCTTGCAGGAATCAGGGTGTCTTCCGAATAAAAGGGATCTGTGATCTAATCACCGATTGCTGCTTCTCATGGTAGAGGTACAGACAATGAGGTGGGGGCCAATGCTGGGAACTTCCCCATTGCTCAGGACTCTCCCCCAAAGCTGAAGTGATTTCCAGGGGACTTAAAGGGCCAGAGTCTTCCCTACCCAACATTTTTTTTCTTTTCCCCTTTTGAAAGCCAGGCATTCAAGAACAAGAACATGCAAAAGCAGCTGCATATATGAGAAAACTCAGAAAGTGACCATGTATGCCCAGGCAAAGGCAAAGGTTCAGAAGAGAACCAAGACAACCAAGTTCACAACTCAGGCTAATCCCTAGCACAGAGGCAGTCTACCACAACCCCAAAACAAAAGTCAGCATAACTTGGAGGAGGTAAAGACTGATTTCCAGAGTCACCACATTATTAGAGTTAAATGTTCAGTCTCCAACAACAACAAAATCACACAGCACACACAAAGTATGGCCCATTCAGAGGAAAAAAACAAATGGAAACTATCGCTAAAAAAGAAATCCAATAGCAGATCTGCTAGACAAAGGCATTAAAAAAACTGTTTAAAGATGTTCAAAGAACTAAAAGAAGATGTGAAGTACAAAAACAATGTATGAACAAAATGGAACTACAGTAAAAAAACAGAAAACCTAAAAAGAAACCTAAAAGAAATTCTAAAGCTGAGAAGTACAATAACTGAGATAAAAAAAATTCACTAGAAGGATTCCAAGACAGATTTGAGCAACATAAGAAAGCATCGGTAAATGTGAAGACACAACAATGGGAAATATCAAGTATGAGGAACAGAAAGAAAAAAAATTGACATGCACAGAGCCTAAGGAACACCTATAAAGTGGATTAGCATATGCACTGTGGGACTTCTAGAAGAAAAAGAGAAAGAAATGGGCAGAGAGATTATTTGAAAAAACAATGACTGAAAACTCCCCAGATTGGTGAAAGACATGAATATAAACATCCAAGAAGCTCAATGACCTTCAAGCAGGATGATGTCACAAACAAGAGATTTAAATAAGATTATCAGCAGATTTCTCATCAGAAACTTTGGAGGCCTGAGGCAGTGAGGTGACATATTCAAGGCGCTAAAAGAAAAATACTGTCAATCAACAATCTTATATCTAGAAAAATCTGTCATTCCAAAGTAAGAGAGCTATTAAGACATTCTCAGATAAACAAAAGTCAAAGAAATCGCCTTACCACAAGACCTGCCCTGCAAGAAATGCTCAAGAGTCCTGCAGGTTGAAACAAAAGGATGCTAAATAGTAACTCAAAGCTAAAGGAAGAAATAAAGATATCAACAAATATAAATACATTAGCAATTATAAAATCTGGTATCACTGTAACTTTGGTTTTTAGTTCATCTTTTTGTTTTCTACATGACTTTAAAACACTAACACATTAAAAATAATTAGTCTAGTAATACTGTAACTTTAAATTCTAAAGCCAGCTGGGCTCGGTGGCTCAGCCTGTAATCCCGCGCCTTTGGGAGGCTGAGGTGAGTGGATTGCCTGAGCCTGAGGGTTCGAGACCCGCCTGGGCAGCGAGACCTCATCTCTACAATAAATAAAAAAATCAGCCGGGCGTGGTAGCGCATGCCTGTAATTCCGGCTACTTGGAAGGCTGAGGCGGAAGGATCGCCAGAGCCCAGCATGTCGAGGCTGCAGTGGCCGGAAGAGGCCACTGCACTCCAGTCTGGGCGACGGTGAAACTCCAACTCAAAAAAAAAAAAAAATTCTAAAGCCACATTTTGTTTTCTACGTACTTTTAAAAACTAATGCATTAAAAAACCAATGATTAGCCTATGTTTTTGGACAGGCAATATATAAAGATGTAATTTTGTGAATCAACAACCTAAAGGGGGTAGGAATGGAGTCATACAGAAGCAGAATTTTTGTATGTTACTGAAGTTAAGTTGATATAAATTCAAACTGAAATGATATAACATTATGTTAAATGTAAAGTCAGTGGTAACCACAAAGAAAATAGTTATAGAGTATAAACAAAAGAAACAAGAATTAAAATGTTCAACACCAAAGAATGAAATGCAGAAACAAAGGACAAAAATTTATATAGCATACACAAAACAAAGAGCAAAATGACAGAAGTCCTTCCTTATCCTTATCAGTAATCACTTCCAATATAAACATATTAAACTCTCCAATCAAGAGACTGATAAATGGATTTTTAAAAATTTTTTAATAGTTGTTTCTATTATTTTATTATTCACTTCTGTATTCTAATCATACATTCATTCATTCAATATGTATTGAGTGCCTAGTATGTATCAGGCACCACAGGATGACTTTTTAAAAAATATGATTCAATCCTTTATGTCCAGAAACTGACCTTGTAGACAAAGATATAAATAGGTTTAAAGTAAAAGGATGGAAAAAAAATTCCACACAAATAGTAACCAAAGGAGAGCAAGGATGGTTATACTAATAAATACAAAATAGACTTAGAGTAAAAAAAAAAGCTAACAAGAGACAAAGAAGGCCATCATATATTAATAGACGGTTTACGCAAGAGATGTAACAATTATAAACATTTCTGTACTTACTAAAAAGACCACCAAATTATATTGAGCAAAAATTGACAGAACTGAAAAAAGAAACAAATAATTCTATAATGATAGTTGGAGATTTCAGTGTACCCCTCTCAATAATGGATAAAACAAGCAGGCAGAAGATAAGGAAACAGAAGACTTGAATGATACAATAAGCCAACTAGATCTAACAGACATACAGAAACAATACCCAATAACAAAAGAAAACACATTATTCTCCAGTAGACATGTGACATTCTCCAGGACATACCATATTTAGGCTACGAATTAAGTCTCAGTAGATTTTTAAAAGATAGATACTATAAAGTATCTTTTCCAAACACAACAAATAAAGTTAGAAATCAGTATCAGAAGGAAAACTGCAAAATTCACAAATTTGTGGAAATTAAATGACACAATCTTAAGCAATCAATGAGGCAAAGAAAAAATCACAAAGGAAATTCTTCTAAACTTACAGAAGAATGAAAATGGAAACATAACCTACCAAAACTGATGGTATGCAGTGAAAGCAGGGCTAAAGGGGAACTATCTAACTAGAATGCTTCCATTAAAAAGGAAGAAAGATCTCAAACAACCTAGTTTTGCAACTTAAGGAGACAAAAAAGAACAAATTAAGACTCAAGCCAAAAGAAGCAAAATAATTAAGTTTAGAGCAGAAATAAACAAAACAGAGAATACAAAAACAACAAAGATCAAAATCAACAGAGAAAAGTTGGTTCTTTGAAAAGATTATAAAAGACAAATCTTTAGCTTAGATGGACTAAGAAAAAAAGAATACTCAAATTAATAAAATCAGAAATGAAAGCAGACACATTACTACTGATTCCACAGAAAGAAAAAGAATTACAAGACAACAATATTATAAAAAATTGTACAACAACCAACTGGAAAACCTATATGAAATGGACACATTTCTTGAAACACAGAACCTACTAAGACTTGAATCACACAGAAATAAAAAATCTGGATAGACCTATAACTAATAGGGAGACTGAATCAGTAATCAGAAATCTCCCTGCAAAGAAAAGCCCTGTACCTAATGGTTTCACTAGTGAATTCACCGAACATTTAGAAAAGAACTAATACCAGGTAGGATACAGTGGTTCACACCTATAATTCCAGTACTTTGGGAGGCCAAGTGGGAGGAGACTGTTGAACACAGGAGTTTGAGACCAGCCTGGGCAGCATAGCAAGACCTCATCTCTAAAAAAACAAAAACAAAAAAATAGGCTAGGTATGGTGGCATAAGCCTGTAGTTCCAGCTACTCAAGAGACTGAGAAGGATCACTTGAGCTCAGGAATTCAAGGTTGTGCTGAGCCATGATCATGCCACTGCCCTCCAGTCTATGTGACTGAATGAAACTCCAACTAAAACAAACAAACAAAACTAACACCAATCTTTCTCAAATTTTTCCAAAAATTAAAGAGGAGGGAACACTTCCTAATTCATGCTATGAGACCAGTATCACTCTGCTATCAAAGCCACACAAAGACACTACAAGAAAAGCTATAAGGTCAGGCATGGCTGCTCACCCCTGTGATCTCAGCACTTTGGGAGACTGAGGAGGGAGGCTTGCTTGAGTCTAGGAGTTCCACACCAACATAGGCAACATAGCAAGACCTCATCTCTACAGAAAAATAAAAAATTATCTGAGTGTGGTAGTGTGTGCCTGTGGTCCCAGCTACTTGGGCAGCTGAGGTAAATTACTTGAGCCAGAAGTTTGAGGCTGTGGTGAGCCATGATTGGGCCATTCCACTCCAGCCTGGGTAGCTGAGTGAGACCCCGACTCAAAAAAAAAAAAGGTATAGACCAATGTTCCCTATGAACATTAATGTGAAAATCCTCAACAAAATACTGACAAGCTGATTTCAGCTGCATACTAAAAGAATTACACAACACAACTGGCTAGGATTTATTCCTAGAAGACAAGGATGGTTTAACGCATGAAAATCAATCAATATAATATAAGACACTAACCAAATAAAGGAAAAAAATCATATGATAAGTTCAAACAGTGCAGAAAAGAAATCTGATAAAATTCAATGCCCTTTCATGGTAAAACCAAAAGAATTCAACAAACTAGGAACTGAAGAAAACTATCTCAAAATAATAAAAGCCACCTATGAAAAATTCATAGCAAACATGATTCTCAAGAGTGTTACACTGAAAGCTTTTCCTCTAAAGTAAGCACAAGGCACTTTTATTCAAAATAGTCCTGGAGCAATCTAAACAAGAAAAAGAAATAAAAGTCATCCAAATTGAAAAGAAAGATATAAAATTATCTCAATTCACAGATGATGTGATCTTATAAGTAGAAAATCTCCCCAAAACTATAACCATTAATAAATTCAGCAAAGTAGCAGGATACAAAATTAACACACAAAAATCAGTTGATTTCTATACACTAAGAATGAATAACCCAAAAAGGAAAAATTTTTTTTAAAGTTCCATTTGCAATAGCATCAAAAAGAATAAAATATATGGAATTAATTAAAGAGATGAAAAACTTGTACAATGAAAACTATACAATAGTGCTGAAAGAAATTAGAAAGACATACATAAATAGACATTTCATATCTGTGGACTGAAAGACTTAATACTGTTAAGATGTCAATATTACCTGAAACTAACTACAGAGTCAATGCAATCCCATCAAAATTCAAACATCATTTTTTACAGAAATAGAAATATCCACTCTTAAATTCATATGAACTCTCAAGGGACTCCATAACCAAAACGATCTTGAAAAAGAAGTACAAAGTTGGAGACTTACACTTTCTGATTTAACTTACTACAACGCTACAGTAATCAAAACAGTGTGGTACTAGTATAAAGACATACAGACCAAAAGAATAAAATAGAAACCACAGAAATAAACCCTCACATGTATGATAAAATAATTTTTGAAAAGGCTGCCAAGACCATTCAATGGGGAAGGGACAGTCTTTTCAACAAATGGTGCCAAAAAAACTGGATGAAGTTGGACCCCTACCAACATCATATATAAAAATTAACTTTAACTGGATCAAAGACCTGAATGCAAGAGTTAAAACTACACAGTGCTTAGAAGAAAACGGCAAAAACTTCATGACACTGGATATCTGGCAATGACTCCCTGGAGAGGACTCAAATACACAAGCATAAAAGAAAATAGATAAATTGAACTTCCTGAAAATTAAAAGCTTTTGTCATCAAAATTCACTGTCAAAAGAGTGAAAGGGCAATCCACAGAATGGGGAAAACACTTGCAAGTCACACATTTGACAAAAGATTAATACCCAGAATATACAGAGAACACCTAAAACTCAGCAGCAAAAAAGCAAACGACCTGATTCAAAAATGGGCAGAGAACTCAAATAGTCACTTCTCAAAGAAAGATGGTAAATAGCACACGAAAAAATGCTCTTCAACATCATCATTCAGCAGGGAAATGTAAGTCAAAACCACAATGAAATTCTACCTCATGCTCATTAGGTCAGTGACTAAACATAGAAAATCACATGTGTTGATGAGGATGTGGACAAACGGGAATGCTTACACGCTACCGATGGAAATGTAAAATGGTGCAGTCACAGGGGAAAACAGTTTGGCAGTTGCTATAAAATTCAGTAAAAAATAGCACATGATCCAGCCATTTCACTTCTGTGAAAATACCCAAAAGAACTGAAAGCAAGATATCTGTACACTCGTGTTCACTACAGCATTATTCATAATGGCTAAAAAGTGGAAGTGTCCATCAACAGATAAGCAAAATGTGGCATACACATACCATGGAATATCATATAGCCTTAAAAAGGAAGGAGATTGATTCCTGCTACAACATGGAAGAAGCTTCTATGCCTAGTGAAATAAGCAAAACGACAAATAGTAGATGATTCCACTTATATGAGATGCCTAGAACAGTCCGACTCACAGAACTGCGGTAGCTGAGGGACAGGGGAAGAGGAGTCAGTATGTGCTCAGTGGGTACAGATTTTCACTTCTGCAAGATAAGAGTTCTGGAGACAAATGGTGGTGATGGTTTGTGACAATATGAATGCACTTAATACTACCAAACTGTACCCTTAAAATCATTAAGATGGCAAATTGTGTTACATGTATTTTGTCACAGTAAAAAGGTGGGGAGGCCCTGTGTGCACAGCATTATTGAATTACAGGCAACAAGAAAAGTCTGAGGAGAATCAACCAACCACATTTCCCCAAGGAAAATATACCCCTGACAAAAAAAATAGTTGCTCATCATGGAAAGGAAATTATTTTTAACTGCAATGGGTAAACTAATTTAAGTAATATAACTTTTTTATCACTAGGCATTCACTTTACAAGACTGGAAGGACATGCAGCCAGTCAATAGGCAATTTTAAGAGAAGGGAAATTCACTAGAAAGGCAATAGCTGAATGTCACAAAGGAGATTCAGGTGGGGGGGACTTTGTTCCAATTCCAGCAGTACACAGTCAGCAAGACGACCTGCTTCCTGAGCACCCACTGTAAAGCTGGCAGTACTGTGCCATTTGTGGTGGGCACGCGCAAAGGGACACAGAAGTGGTCCCATACATGACCCTGCGTATCACGGTCACAGAAGATGTGCATGCATAGAGCAACAGTCCAGAAGAGAATGGGCTGAACAGGACGCAGGCTATCAAGGTGCACTGTGGGAAGAAACAAGGCTGCCTGTGCCAATCACATGTGACCTCAGGAGCCAAGCAGAGCATTACAGATGACTCAGCATGGCCAGCGTGGAGTAAAGTGAGGGAGGTCAGGAGTCCAAGAATGGTGGGCATGTGATCACCACCACACGAAATGCTGGGGACAGGGGTAGTGTCATGAAGATATCAGATGTTTTGGGGAGGAACAAAAATCACTTACCAAGAGGCAGAGACAGGGTTAAGGAAAAGGAAGGAGTGAGAACATGCCAAGGCTTTCTGTTTGGGCCTTGAAGGATGCTGGTGACCCTGACAGGGAGGGGCCAAGAGGAGGAATGGGAGGTGGAAGATGAGGGGCTCCCATCATGGTGAACGAGAAGACTATGACTACAAATGCTGGGAGACATTGCGTGGAGACAACTGACACCAGTCAGGGCGCCAGATCATCACACACTCTGCATCCATCTTACTATGATATTTGGGAAAATAACTCTGGAAGGGTCACTCCCCACCATCCTGTCCCACTGGGCCTCTGCCAGGTCTGCTCCAATTACGGCTGAGAGTGGGACTCAGAGCCCCAGCTGTCTAGGCCTGTGCACAAGCTTCTCCCTTGGCCTGGGAACTGCTTACCTCCTCATCACTTCTGCCCCTGGGATTGCTCCCTCTGTCCCACTCCCAGGGCTGCTTCTCCCACAAACCACAGCTCGTTTGGGGCGTGTCACACTTGCAAATCACACATTTGCTGCGTCATTATTCTTTTGCACTTACAGAGTCTAACAGCCTCTACCTGCTCACCTGGTCATTTCCATCCATGTTTGAAAAAAGATGCTAACTGGGCAGGTGGGAGTCGAACTTACTGTCCACTCCAAGACAAGTCTACAAAGAGCACTGCCCAGAAGTGCCGAGACTGCCCCCCACTGCCCCTAGAGCTTTAAGCGGATGGAGGAAAAAGGTGTGAGCCTGGGCATGTGTGTCCTGGGCTGCTGGCACGCATTTCCCGCCCCTGCCGCCACCCAGGTACCCGAGAAAATGTTCTTGAGGTTTTCCACGGCTGCGGCGAGCTGGCTGTGCTGCACCACAGCATCCTTCACGGTCCTGAGGCTCTCGATAGTGTTGATGCTCTGTCTCCAGTCCTTGCTGACGGCAGCCAGTGCCTGCTGGATGTCTTTGACGTCATTCAGTGCATTGTGGAGCTGGCTGAGGCCTGTGCGCACCCCGTCCAGCTGGGACTGGATCGCAGCCTAAGGGGAGACACATGCAGGTGAGCAGAGCAGAGACAACCACACACTGCCTCTGGAAGAACACAGCTTCCCTGGGGCAAGTCCAGAAAAGAGCCATTGTGTGGCAGGAAATAGTCAATGCCAGAAAAAGGGGTGCAATAAAATTTAAAAAATAAAAGTAACAAGGACTGAACTGATTCACAAGGTAACTTTTTCTTTTTGTTCACTGCTGCCCGGGACCAGAACAACGGTATATTTTAAAGCCTTGATGAGAAAACTTCACAATGTTCTTCATCCAGCCTCACAGCCAGTGATATCACATGCCAGGCCTGGGCCACCTTGAACTGGGACACCACCCACATTCTCTCTGGGTATCCCTCAGGCTCCTAACAGTCTCATCTAGGCAGAGAACTGTCAGGACTTCATCACTTTGGTGGGTGGGGGATCCGGCTGTTCAGTCAGGACCACACTCAGCTCAAGGACAGCCGGTCCCACTGCCCAGAACAGGGACCTGTGGGCTGGCAGGAAGGCCCTTCAGAAAGCTGTACAGCCAGCGGGAGAGGGCACAGAGGGATATCAGCAGGCAGACAGGAAAGAGGAAAAGATCATCAGCAGCACTAACTCCAGGAGCTCCTTCTAAGGAGCCTAAGTCACATTTAGAAATATTTAACTATGATTATAAGAGACCACTGGAGGTTTCCAGGCCACTCTTTATAATTGCTGGTCAATCTCACAAGCTTTCAGGACAAATAAAAATTCATGCTAAAAACGTAGTAAGTCCAAACTATTTTTTAAATTAAAATGACACTGACATCTCAAGTTCATTCAAAAGCATCTTCGGCTACTCTGCTGGTAGAACAGAATGATCCTCATCTGTCTCAGGGAGCCTGGCTGCTCGTGCTGTTTTCAAGTGTCAAGAGGAGCTCATTGTCTGGGTGTGAAAATGACCTTTCTTCAAAGTATTCTCTTAAATCCCCAAATCCGTTCTGCTGCATGTCGTGGTTTTAACATTTTATAATCACACTGAATGTGCATATTTTAATGGAACCTCATTTCTTCAAAGAAGTAAAATGAAAGCCAACCTAAATTATAAAATACCTTGAAAAAGAATTATTTTCTTCCCTGTCTCACTTTCAAATATTCTTCGTAAACGTGTCTCGCTCTCCTCCTCCTTCCTACCCAGGGCCACCAGGATCCCTGGCACATGGGCAGCCCACCACAGAGTATGTAAAAACGATCTGAACAAAATGCTCTTTGGTGTGCTCTGTAGAAGAGTCTTAGATAAAATAAGAGTGCTTGTTATTCTTCTAGAATTGTTTAAAAAGTTAAATGTACATTTTCAGGGTACTTAGAAAGGCCATTCCTTTGGTGCTTTCACTATCCCCACAGTCTTCTCTGTAAACCTGATCGGTAATACATCATTGAAAGGGTCTGTTTAAGTAAAGTTTGGCTCTGCTCCCTTGCACATCATCACAGACTCTAATTTAGCAGAATCATCATGACGATGCCAAGCAAGAACACAAAACTCAAGACAAATGGCTCTGTCCTGCCTGGGAATGAAGCAGATGACCATGACCTCTCTGGTCTCGTACCTTCAACCTGGCCTCCACGGAGGCCTTCTTCCGAGCCTCCCTCCTGCGATATTGTTCCACTTTGTCCAGCTGGTCGGGGCGCTGGAGCATTCCAGCAACCCTCTGGACTGCTGTCGCAACAGCCTCCCGGTCTGTTTCCTTCATGGTCAAAAAGCAGGAGGGACTCCCACACTGTTCATGCTAGAGGTAAGCTGGGTTGGGAAGGCAGAAACGTTAACTACAAACAGTCAGTGGATCATAATGGAGCTATAAGGAGTGTTTGAGTAGACTTTTCATCCAGTAAACCTGAAAGAAAGCTGAACTAGGATTACGAACTCCTCAGTAAGATAAACAGAACTTCAGAGCTCAAGCACATGGAAGTTTTACCTTTCAGTGGGAAAGCAGGGGGCATTTCACAGGCTCAGAGATGTGGACATATGGAGGATATCCATACGGGGGTCCCAGACCACCCGCTATGTCAGATCTAGTCTCGAAGCCTTGTCTCTTTCCAGACAGGCCAATTTCTCATTCCCCTAGCCACACCTCTGGGCAACTGTACCAGTTTCTGCAGTGAGGACAGGACCCACAAGTACAGCACACACCTCGTCTCCCCAGCGGGCAAGCACAGCTCAAGTGCCAGCACAAGGCCTACGGTTCTCAGCAAAAATCACTACTTCTTGGGTATCTGAAATTCCTATTTTTTTAACAGTCCTAGAAAACAAAGTACATATCCCCCTTTGCTCGGGTACTGTGCCCAGAGGACAGATGCTCAGACATTAGGCAATCCTAGCCCTACCATTATCCAGGTCATGGAGCTAAAAGGGCTATTTGGCGAGCATCCAGCAAGTGAGGCCTTCCAGTAAGTGTTCCTTCCCTCTGACTTTAGCTACTCAACTTCCACTTTCGTGGTTATAAAAAAGATTTACCTTCTCCCGGAATTTTTTTTTTGAGTGGGAGTCTCACTCTATCACCCAGGTTGGAGTGCGGTGGCATGCTCACAGTCACCGCAGCCTCAACCTGCTGGGCTCAGGCAATCCTTCTGCCTCAGCCTCCCAAGTAGCCGGAACTACAGGCACATGCTACCACACCTGGCTAATTTTTTGATTTATTGTAGAGATGAGGTCTTGCCAAGTTGCCCAGACTGGTCTCGAATTCGTGGGCTCAGGCAATCCTCTCACCTCAGCCTCCCAAAGTGCTGAGATGACAGGCTTGAGCCACCATGCCCAGCTCTCCTGGAATTTTCCATCCCCCATTGCTGTATGCTTTCAGAGAAACACTGAAATTAGAGGATTTCCACTAAGTCATCCTCCCTGCCTGTGCATACCTCTCTTTCCACTTCCCTTCCAAATAGACCTACACTACAGCCACTACCTTTCCTTTCTGATTATGAAATTATACACACCAATGTAGATCTGGACAGGACAGAAAAACACAAAGATGCCAGAGGCAGCCTTCCTTAAACCACACCAGTCAGGGGTGACCACTTCTAACAGGCCTTGCTTTCTCTGTTTTTTTTTTCCCCCTTGAATCTCTTTTCAAACTGAGATCTCAAGGCATATGACTTTGTCCTTCATCCCTTTGTTTCCTTGTTTTGCTTTGACATGTTGCCATCTGCATTTCCACTGACATTAAATCCAGCGTGAGACCGATCCCAGGGCTGGATAAAAGCCCGGGACACGGCCATGCAGCCACTCTGCCAGTGCACACCCGAAGGACAGTTCACCGAGAATAAAGGCTGTCACGCTCTCAGACGTCGTCGGTGAGTGGAAGGCCGCCGGGCACCTGGACGCCAACGAGCAGAGAAAGGGAGCTCTCCCTGGAATCGGCGCAGAGGGATCCACGGGCATGGAGAAGGGGCGCGACCCAACCTCGAGGACTCCGGGATGTTCTGGTCAGCCTGAAGCCCTCAGGGGCCGAGGGAGTAAAGACGCTGGTGGAACCCCGGCCCGGGCTTTGCTGACTGCCTTCCCGACGCAGCCTCTCAAGAGGGGGACCCCTTGAGGGGATGCTCGCATAAGGGGACACCACGAGGAGACACTGACATGGGGGCCATCGGCCCGGGGCGACACCCGCATGAGGCGGACACCAGACCCGGGACATCTCCCCACGGGGGGCAGCCCACCGAGGGGACATCCCATCGAGGGAGACTTCCCACCCAGAAGACACCCCACCAAGGGGACACGGCACCGAGGGGACAGCGGGGGGAGTCATCGGCCAGGGGCGACACCCGCGCGAGGCGGACACCAGACCAGGACACCTCATCGCGGGGGACGGCGCACCGAGGGGCACATTCCACAGAGGGGCACCGGCACGAGGGGTCACCCCACCAAGGGGTCATCCCGAGGAGGACATCGGCACCGGTGGGAAGTCATGGGCCGGGGCGACACCCGCGAGAGGGGACACTGAACGCA